ACATTTTTCAGGACAACTACTACATAGTCAATCTGGCTTTCAAGTTAAACAAGAAGCAATAGGAGTTTTGAAGAGATCATTAGATTTAAGGGTTAGTTTTCCTGGTCCCGCTCACCCTCACATCTTTGAAATCTCGGGGCTAGTTTCTATTTCATTTCCAATCCATAGAGTAATTCATACAGATACACTTACTTCTTGGAAAATCTTGACTTTTTTTTCAGTCTACTGAAGGAAGTTGAAAAAAAATTATCGTGGTAATGAACCAGATTTGGATATAGAAGTCAGATGGAAGAAAGACCCCATAGCGCCTTACATTTGCAGGAGAAACCTTCTCAGGCAAAGTTTAAGTACAAACCTCAAGAGTTGCTTTACTGTGAGATTGGGGGGAGGGATAGCTCAGTGGTTTGAGCATTGGCCCCCTGCTAAACCCAGGGTTGTGAGTTCAATCCTTGAGGGGGCCATTTAGGGATCTGGGGCAAAAATGGGGGATTAGTCCTGCTTTGAGCAGGGGGTTGGACTAGATGACCTCCTGAGGTCCCTTCCAGCCCTGATATTCTATGATCTCCAGTTAGCAGTTTTACTGAACTTCAGAGGACCATAAGCATGGAACCACTTCAGTCCAGAAATTCCACTGAAGATGTACTGAAAAATAACTCAAGAAAAAGTGAAAGCATTTTTAAAGTTGTTCATTGCAGTACTAAATGTGATGATATTAAAATATATATCTATGACAATGTCACATTATCAAGTCAACAAGAGAGCCTCAGTTCATCAACACCTGCAAATGATAATTTCACTAACCATTTAGCTTTGTCCAAAGTAAGTAAAGTCTCATGGTCTCCAGGCCAAAGACCTGTTTCATTGCGAAGCCATGATAAAAGTTGTATTGTCTGTCAACTTATTACTATCTGTCAAACATCTATATCAGGCCCTTATAGTACAATCAATTCCCTAAATTCCTCATTCAGATCAGACACCAGGTCAGAAAAATGTCTGCTCTTTCATAAAGCAGCATAGTGCCATGTGTGCCCAGGAGGTACCCAACTCCTCAAAATCCCCTTCCCCCTAAAAGACATTAAATTAGGGGAAAATGTTCATAAAACTGAATTATCAAGTAGGGAGGGAGGTTCTGAAATATAAGTAAAAAAAAATCTGGAAAACCAGTTATATGTATTTACACAATTAGGCCCTATTTCAGGAAAGCATCACTTGACTTTAAATGTGCTTAAAGCGAAACACATGCTCTAGTGCTGTCCTGAGTCAGAGCCTAAACTTCTATGGACACTGGAGAATATAAGATTAAGAAAAAATGTTCACAAATTTCAGTACTGAAGCCTTATTTGAGGGGAGATGTACAGGATGATTCAGGAGATTTGTACCAGGATTCAGTTTCAAAGAGGCCCCCCAGAGCTCTCAGCTCTCTGAGCTGCCATACGCAGTTAGGGGACCCCGGAGCTTCAAGCCACTACAGGCAGTGGGGGACCCCAGAGCTGCCAGCTGCAATGGTGGCGGGTGCTGGACCTCCCCATACCCATCCGCAACAGGGCTCGGTCTCGGCCCCATTTTGTCACAGTTATTTTTAGCAAAAATCAGGGACAGGTCAAAGGCTTCCTGAATTTTTGTGTATTGCCAGTGACCTGTCCCTGACTTTTACAGTACTAAAAATAACCATGACAAAATCTTAGCCTTAATAATGATCAAAAGCGTTTACCATCTTATGGTTGTTCTGTGACCTGTGTGTTTAAAAAGTTCCTATTATCTTAATTTATGAAAGATCTTTATGCAGATAGAAAATATACAAAATTAGAGAAAATGAATAAGGACCTTCAGACTGAATTAAGGAAAGCAGACTTTCCATTCTTTCTACAACAGATTGCTTCTACATACCCTTTGTTCAATCTTTTCTCAGTCCAAGGTCATTTGCAGCTGTAATAAATCCCGGTGCTACAATCTGTCAGCTAACTTTGTTGCTTAAAATGTTGCTTTATTTGGAATACTGTAGTATAGCAGTTGCATAACACATTTTCAGTTTTCCTATCATTGCACTTCACCTACAGTTCCCTTGTGGGAGTTTAATTAATTACAGTGTCTGCATCAGCTCAATCTTAGCTCTCATTTAAAGGCTTATCTATTATGAATTCCTTTAACTGGTTAGGGGCTGAGCTGCAAACACTTAAACATGAGTAGCTTTAACTTACATGAGCAGTTTCTGAGGTGCTGAGTTGCCTCAGCAATTACTGAAATGGATGGTAACCGAGGGTGCTCAGCAAACTGCAATAACTTTCAAAAACTAAAGGATCATATTCCATATGATCAAAACTGTGAAAAGCAAAGAATTTAGACAGTGATATGATTGCATATGTAATTTGTACTGCATATTTCTGTTTATATGTAAAGTATGGTAAAAGAGCACAAAGATGTTTTTATGTTTGGACACGCAGATCACATGGTATGTGTATACTAAACGTACAGTGATGGCAACAGAAACTGTATGTGTAGATCAAGTATAGTATATGTCCCTCTGATTTATTTCTGTTCATAAAACTACTGAATCAGCACTAAATACATTTGCATAATATTGAACTGCATTTGCAACCATTCTGTCTCTGTATTGTTTTTACAAAACCAACATTTTGCCCTCACTTACATCCCATATAACTCCACTGACTTCTGTCAGGTTACACAAGGTAAAAGTTAGGGCAGAATCTGGCACAAAACAAATACTGCTTCATGGCATCTTTAAGGCCAGACTTTATGCTTGCCTCTCATTCTCTTTCTACCAAGCAGCCTCCTTGAGATCCTTCCTCAAAGAATATATCTTGAGTGAAACTTTTGGTGCTGATTTTTCTCACCAATCATGTCTAAATCCCTGTGTTTTTGAACTGTTATCAGATATATATATCATCCATGTCTGGTCTGGTCTGTAAATCCTTTGGGCAAGGTCCTTGTCTTTAAGTATTATAAAGTATTGTGTACGTTCTTATGGTATCTATAACGAATATCACCATATTATTTTGATTGAACCGATAAAGCATAATTAAAATTGTTTGGCTTATAATATTAGGAACAATATTTCACTTAAAATGCATAATTTGAATTTGTAATATATATTCTTATTTTAAAAGTAATGCTATTGCAAGTTCATTTTTCCTTATTTTTATTTAACTATCATATGCTGTTTAAAAATAAATTAACCAATTGAGGGGGGTGGGGATGGCAAAGAGTGTATCCTCATTTGTCTTCCTTGTGTTCAGGTTAAAGAAAATGAAATAACAATTCATGTTGCTACACTTTCTCCAATATTTGTCTTTTGAGTAATAAATTGGGGCCTACTATGGAAGAGGAGAAATTTGTCTAATAAGGTAATTTTAAAAAATGATGCCTCACATGGTAATACATGCTCTGATTCTGCAAGCCTGAAAAAATGTGTTCATGTGAATAACCCCTTGACTTCAAAAAGCCTGCAGCAAACTTATGCCAAATATAGAAAAGGAGGCTGTAGCTAGCAGAATACGAGACAAAGGTTTTTTGCACAGTGAAAATTAGGGTGACTAGATAGCAAGTGTGAAAAATCAGGACGGGGTGGGGGATAATAGACACTATATAACGCAAAACCCTGAATATCAGGTCTGTCCCTATAAAATTGGGACATCTGGTCACCCTAGTCAAAATATGTTATTGTTTGGCAAACATTACAAAAGCAAATTGTCTGATCCACAGTGGGAACAATTCTGCAAACACTTTCATCATGTTTCATGTAAGTTGTCCCAGCGGCCAAGAGGCCATTCAGGCTAATAGCAGACTCTCAGAAACATGCAAAGAGAATTTCAAATTTTGGGTCTGATTTTCCACTGCCTTCATCTAGTACAGTCATTATATGGGTGCAAAGTGAGCATAGAATGCCAGCATTCTGATTTTGATAATGTGTACAGGGGTAAATGACTACATGAGGTGCAAGACAGAGGAGAAATAGGCCCTTTGAGTCTAACTGGGCTGTTGACATCTTATGCTACATTCTCATGTTTTATTGTCTTTATCCAAACTTGTAAGAGGAATAAACTTTATAAAACAAGATACTGGAATATTTCTCCAGGACATAATGTATATTACTTGACCCCTAATTCTCCCAGACTGACCACCTCACAGTGTCAACACTCCATGCCAACTAGACACAAAGAAAAATACTAACTTCCCTATTTCTACTCCTTTTTATTTCATGTTGCATTAGTTTTCCTTTGGGGATTACTATTTGAGATTGTGCTGGTCACACCCTGACCTGATTACTGTTCTCAGTATTTGTATATTTAGGACTTGGAGACATCATGGGCTGACTTCCTGTCTGCAGTAAAAGAACAATGTGCCAATTTGTATTGATTTTAGTTGAATTTAGGGATGAATGTGGTCCATCCTTTGCAGTAAGGTGGCTGTCCAGTCCTATTCTAAGGTCTTTTTATTTTGTTGCAGGTGATTAATTAGTGGTTGGGGACAGGTCTACAATACACAAAGCCAAAATTAGGGCTTCAGAATGGTCTTCAGTGACTGTCCATGCCCGACTGTTGTAGCTATGCTGACCTAATCCCCATCATAGACACAGCAATATCAATAGACAAATGTTCCATCAAAGTAGCTAACTTTGTTTGTGTAGGTGGTGTTCCTACATTATGAGATTATGCTGGCAAAGTTGTGCTGACACAGCTATGCTGGTATAGTCTGTGTAGTGGGACACAGCTGAAGAGGTTTCCTTTCTCATTTCTGTTTTTATGTGGGGGCCCTGATAGTGATAGTTCCTGTGGATGGTTCTTGTCTGTGTGTCAGAGAGCTGTTGCAGCAAGAGAGAGCAGCGTAGCACTTCTCTTCAGCAGAAGGAAGATCAGTAATGAAAGCAAGTACCCACGTCTGGGAAATGCTCAATTATCAGCTTTTCTTTCCTCTTGCTTTGTGTCTTCTTAATGTTTGTGGTCTTTTTTTTTTTTTGTTTTGTTTCCTTATCTCTCCTTCAGAGAGTTGTAATAATGTACTAACTAGAATCCCTTATCACAATACCAACCTAAAGGAGAACAGAAGAGCAAAAGGTGAGAGTTTCCTTTGTCTGCTTCTTTTGGTGAAGGCCATATCCGGTCTTCATGTGTAACAAGAGGAACTTGTGAGTCCCTAGGATGTCAGAATGCTCCTACAAGGAAGATGGAAAACGTTTACTTAATAAGAAGAACTGCAAACTTTTCGGCAGCCACGGCTTGAGAGTGATGCGTCTCAAAAGCGAAACCTGACTGGGGAGGACACAGCAAGAGTCCACCCACTGATGTAGGCCTTCACATCAAAGGTGGATTTTTTTTCTTTTGGTGTTCTGTTTTTACATAGGGAAAATAATGTGCATGGTCACTTTAAGAGAGGGAATTCTGGGAGTGAACTTTGTATCTTGAAACCTCATAGGCTATATCTACACTACCGCAGTAAGTCGACCTATGCTATGCAACTCCAGCTACATGAATAACGTAGTCAACGTACCGTAGGTTGAGTTATCGCGGGGTCTACATGTGGGGGGTCACTTATCTTACTCTTCTCGTCGGGGGTAGAGTACGGGGGTCGACTGGAGAGTCATCTGCTGTTGATTTGGTGGGTAATCACCAGATCTGCTAAATCGACTGCCGGTAGATCGATCTCAGAGTGTTGATCCCAGCTGTAGTGTAGATGTAGCCTTAAACTTGCATGAGAAATTCACTGAAGCTCAGAGGGTCAGGAAGAAGAGACATCTGGAGAGGGCTCATAACTCCAGGTCATGCTGAGTGTCAAAAGTCATCTGGTATTGTATCTGAACAAGCTTGATTTCAATGTTTTATTAGAGGGGACTATGTTTCTTTTTCTTTGTTTAAGTAATTTGTTAATAAAGGTTCTGAGAATACTTTAAATCTTGCATCTGGAATTTTGAACTTCTTTCTCCCAAGTGCCCAAGCCCCTACTCCCCCTTCTCCACCTTTTTGTATTACATGTTGGTCTATTTCATAAGTAGTACTCATGAAACTTTTAAAATTCCACTCTATAGTTTTGAGGTCTACAGATGTGAATGAAAAATGCTGTAAGAGCTAAGTATCATAACAGAGAAGGAGATTTTAAAGCAGTATCTAGATTTTTTTATGGAATAGTTTTACTTCTGTTACATATTGACATGATGCTTATATTTTAAGCTTCATACATTTGGTGATCAGTATGAGCAGGTGTGAGTGGAAGCCTGAGAAATACTAAGTTGGCTGAAAAAAAATTACCTGTATATTGTTAATGTGGTTTTTGGCATTATGTCAAAAAGAGGCCTTAGGCAGTACATGGCATAATGGGAGGTCTGATTAACAATGAAAATATGAAGTTTATGTGTGTTCTAGTAGCTTAGTTCCCACACTTAGTGTTCCACTTGTTCTTACACAAAGAAACTAAACTGACACAGTTGAAGATAAAAATTTTATTGGAGGTCAGAAATCACTGCAAAGTTATTCTCTCTCAGTTTGAGTAGAACAAATCTGACTGCCATTACTTCAAACAAAACTCAGACTTGCTTCCAAGTCTTTTTGACTTGGAGAGAGACACTTTGTTCAGATGAGACTAAATTTGAGTTTAGACATAAAGAGAAAGAAAGAGGGTATACAGTTCACATGAATACAAAAATGGAATTATCCAAGTATTTACAGTCATAGCAGCTGCATTAAATGAAACAGACATCAGAAGGCTGGAAGCAGTAGAAATGAGAGTTCATCGGAAGATGGCAGGTGTACAGTAGAATGATTCTAAGACACATGAAGAAGTTAGAAGAAAAGTAGGATGTGAAGTCAGGTTATGGGATTGACTGCACTCAAAAATATTACAGTGCATACTGCAGAAGACAAACAGGTGATAGGAGGCCAAAGAAAATAATGCAAATGTAACCAAGATTTGTCAGACCTAGAGGCTGACCACTGACTAGATGGCAGGACATGGTATGCAGGGCATGACCCCGCTGGGCTTGGCAACAAGTCATGGAGAGGAATGAATGGCAATGTTGTACTGCTCCCCATGTCTGTAAAGATGCTTTGGGATGAGAAGAAGCTGGAGAAACAGTGCTTTGCTCTGGCACTGAAAAATGAACCCGTGTTTTCACGTTGACACTAAAAACCTCACTTATGATTTATTTATTTTATATTGCCTTTATTCAAATTCTCCTAAGCAGCTTTGGACTGCCTTCCAATACACTGCTGTATAAAGTCCCTTTCTGTCCATGCTTCACTTGGTATGAATGATGGGTAAAAAAACCTAGAACTATTCCACTGAACTTCAGTGGAATTTCTGACCTGAATCATCTGTAGTAAACCAGCAGATGGCACCTAAGTGCAAGCATCCTACTCTGGGAGGCTCAATGGCCTAGAGCAGTGGTTCTCAACCAGGGGTACACCAGGGGCATGCAGAGTTCTTCCAGGGATACATCAACTCATCTAGATCAGTGTTTCTAAACCTGGGGGGGTCACAGGATGGGTTCAGGGGGGTTGCAAGTGCAGGGTCGGCATTAGGGGGTGGCAAGCAGGGTAATTGCCTGGGGCCGTATGCCAGAGGGCCCCTGTGAAGCTAAATTACATGCTACAGCCCCAGGTGGTAGGGCTTGGGGTTGAGCCCTGGGCAGTGAGGCTCGAGCTTCAGACTCTTGAAAGTGGTACAGTAATCTGGAAAGGTTGAGAACCACTATCCTAGAGGGGCAAGAAGCAAGAAGATTCTAGGACAATTGGGAGGAGCTATCATGGTAGGAGTTTGTGCATGTGGGGGCCTCTGTGGAAAGGAAGAAAGACTGTTTCCCTGGATGCACATGAGCCCGGAGAATGGAACATATGATGGACACTCCTGGACTTAGCCTGGTGCTGAGCACTTTTGTCTTAGACTTGTGTGTTCTAATGGAAGGTGAAAGCTGAGTAACTGAGGAGCAACGTACCCCCTCAGGCTGGAAGTTCAGATTGAGCAGCCACCGGGCAGTTTATTACATTAGGCTAGTGCATCTCAGCTTTATATGCACCACTGGTGGGATTAGAAGCCTCATCTGGGGGGTAAAGGTTCCCAGACGTGGGGGAAGATATTGTTCTATTGTTTGTTTTACTGTTTCACTGTTGCTGTTGAATTCCCTTATATCCCCAACCCCTTTAAGCCCATTGGTCTGTATCCATTTTCTTGCCAAATATTTGTTTATATAAATGGTCTCAGAACTCCTTTGTGTGCAATTGGGTTTTTGTGCCAGGGGCTTCTGGATCCACATAAGCAAAGGGGGTCTGTGCCCAGCCCAGAGAGAAATGGGTGCAGGAAAGTAACCTTAGCCCATCTAGCAGCACCAATGTCCAATGCAGAGAAGCGGGGAGAGTTTGGTACAAATTGGTGGCAGTGGTGGGATTACAGGGGCTATCCCTCAACTGAACTAAGTGGACGTCTGTGGTCCAGACCATAAGATGAAAGATAAACTGATTTCTTAATTGTAGAGATGTTTTACGTGTGTGTTTGTCATTAGACATTTGAAAGGAAGAAAATGAGTGACGAAGAGGAAGGGTACCCCTTGGAAGGGTCAGATATGTCACCTCCAAGTAGGATTCCACAGCCCATATTTAACCTGGCACTTTATAGTGTGGTGCAATAGGAGTCATTGGCATGATCAGTTTGAAATGGCAGCTGAGCTGAGTGGGTGATTTGAGTCTACTAAGGTGAAATTTCTGAGCCTATTGCTCATAAGGGAAGTCTACCAGAGACTTAGCAGTGAGGTTTGGCAAGATGATGAGCACCTACCAGATGCCCTCAAGTATTCTTTGGAGCTTGCAGTGGGATTCCTGCCGCTAATCAGAGCCCAGCAGGCTCAGATAAAAGGAGTTCAGGGCCTCAGCAGGTCAGTTCCTGGCCAGAATCAGAGGGCCAAGGAAGGGACTTCACTTTGGCCAAAGGAGCTTGAGGGATAACCAGAGTCTGGTTCTGGCTGCATTTGTTCAAGCTGGGATGAGAGAAAACCTGAGAACTTTAACCCTTAGGTAAGGGTTGATGATAAAGGGACCAGGTGGGAAGAGGCCCAGGGAAACAGCAGCTGAGGATTGCAGTAAGTGGTACATGGCTGCTGCTGGAACTCGTAGTAGTGGGTGGGCTCAAGTTCTCCCACCAACCAGAGATGAAGTGGAATAAATCCTGAGAAGGAGACCAAGCTTGTTTAGAAGCATGAGCAAAGGACTGAATTTAAGGGGCCCCGAGTTGAGGCTGAAGACCATGGTGAGGGCAGACAGACAATTTTGTTGGACTTTTGTTACTCCAGAAGCGGTTCATTTTGATTCTGTGACCCGGCTGGAGAGCTGAGGCACTGAAGACCCACCAAACGAGGTTGACAACTTATGGGGGCCCCAGAATCAGGAAAAGGACTGCAGTATCACATGCAGCAGCAAGAGGTGCTCAAGAGATGAGTGTCCCCTGTTACAGAACCCCTATTCATTGTTAGAACAGTTTCTCTCAGCTTTGTGTATGTAGTCTAGTTGTAGTCAGTAGTTGTTCTAGTTAGTAAGTTTTAGTAATTTTACTAATTTAAAAACAAAAAAGAGAGTTTTGATCTCATTGTTCCCTGTTTTAAGGTTCTGTTGCTGCCACAGAGGCATGCCTCGGTTACCGGGCTTCAAGCCACATGCTTCCTGCTCAAAGTCTATGCCTGTGAGCAACCCAAAGAGCAGCTGTCATAAGTGCCTGGGCAAAGTGCACATGAAGGACTGGTGCCAGATATGCTGTGAATTCAAGCCAAGGATGCAAAAAGATAGGCTAAGCTGAAGTTCCTGCTAATTGAGGCGTTGCTGACACCACCCTCAGAGCCGCCCTGGTCTGATTCAGCGCTGAGTGCTGCTACTTCAGTCAAAAACACACCTCCAAGATTGTTGGAGTCCTGGCCTGTGCCTAGGAAGAAGCAAAAGCCTTCCAGAGAGGCTCCAATCAGGGGCAGCCCCTCCATGGTCAGTGGAAGGGAAGTCTTCTCCATCAGAAACTGAGGTGGGATTATATATCTCTCAGCCTTGGAGTAGGACCTGCCAGTCCCCACATAGATCCTTCTCTGGATACCCTCACAACCCCACAACAGGAACTATTATGGGAATGTGGCCAGGAGGTCACTGGGGTGCCGTCCCTTATCAGAGGCCTTTTGGAACCCTAGGGTTTTCCCCCCAGCTTCTAGATCCTCCCCTGGTCATGTCTACTTAGTGCCCATGCCCAGGTTGAGTGAGTCCAGGCACCGAACCAACCCAGTTCTGTCCAGTACTGGGCCTGGTACCAAGCATCAACAAGAGGTACTTGAGGAGCCAGAAGAGCATCCTATGGAAGAAGTTCAACCACTTCCAGACTTGGCTTCATCTTCATTCTCTCTGGACAAGGCAGTTTCCTTGGAGGCACCATCATCCCCTTCTGCCAACTACAAGACTTATCAGGAATTGTTACAGAGGACGGCTTCGGACTTAGGCATTCAGGTCGAGGAGGTCAGAAAGACTTCTCATTGAACGTGTGATGAATAGCAGCCTCATGCTACACCTCCTTAACTTCTGTCACTGCTGATTCAGTTCCCTGGGCCAAAGATCTACTCCCTGAGAATGCTAGGCATTTCTCTTCCCTAGTGAACAAGGGCAGATTAGTAGCAAGAACTTCACTGCAGGCTGGGCTGGATGCAGCAGATTCAGCAGCTGGAACCATAGCGGCTGTGCAGAGGTCCTCATGGCTGCAGTCTTCTGGCCTCCGCTATAAAGTCCAGAATATTATTCAGGACTTGCCTTTTGAAGGTCCCTCTCTTTTATCAGACCAGACAGTCAGGAAGTTCCATGGCATTAAGGACTCGAGGGTCACTTTGAAGTCGGGTTTGTACAC